ACTACTCTGTATAAGTGTTACTTTGCAGCTTTTTGAACTGGCGTAGACAAATCATGTCGAACAAATAGAAATGCAATCTATATATTAACAGGCCAGCATGTTTCTTTCAAACCATTTTTCTCAGATCGTTTGTATCGCAGGGAAAATCTACTCATACTGTTAGAAGGATATTTTCCTGTAGGCTGAATCCTTTTATAAATTAAAATAGTCTCAAATATAAGCACAAAAATGAGTTCAAAAAACTAACATAGGCCTTACGGGCTACCATGCTGGTGACGAAATAACAACGAAATATAAACAGAAAATCGAAACGAATGGAAGAAATGCCAATCACATGTTTTATTTACAGTGCGGGTGGAAATATTAAAGTCTGTAAATTATATATTTTTGGTAGAGTTTTCGACCACTGGACGACCTCTAGTAATAATAATTTAACGTTGTAATAACTCTTTCATCATAATAACCCCCATTCATCGTAACTCTTTTCGACCCGAGCTCAAGTTTGAAAAGAACGAGGGATGAAAAGAAACTGTTTGGCCGTTTGATGAACTATATTTTTCGTTCTGCAACATTATACTAACAACAACTAACTAACAAAAAACTAAGTTAGAAAATGAAAATTCTTTTCATGCAATGATAACCTCACTAAACAACTTCCAACTTATTTTCCATTTTGCTAATGCAAATAAGCAGCTGTTTAGTAAGTGATTGAATATGAATTTCGAATTTTATTACGTTTGTGATAGAGCACATTGTACCATCGATACGTCGAACTATTGACAAGAATGCACAATAAGCTACAGCCGATGAAATCAATCGAAAATTAGTTTCGATGCTTGTGCTTACAACCGAAGTTAACAACTTAGTTTACGTCGCCTGACTCTTACAAAGCTTTTACCTCCTAGGGACTAAAAAAGGCTTTTTAATTCCTATGGAGTAAAAGAGCTACTTAAGACCCGCAATGCATGTATAAAACGGCTGTTTTAGCTACAATATGACGAAAAGGTAATTCAATTATATGAATATTGCCCATTAGAATTCTTCAAATGAGGGAATGAGGGAGTTATACTCACGTGAAAACCCCGTAATATGTTGTTTTATTTCAACATAGTCCTTGTGTCTCATGTGGGCTTTGACCCCTTGAATCGTTGCACGATTGCACAAAGCTAAACATAATTAGTGACTGGTGGGATTTGAAGCCGATGTCCCGGATATATGTCCTACGTCCTCAACAAAATAACACGATTTCTCTCCCATAAAAGGTACCAATATTGTTTTAAAATTTCTTAGTATATAGTTTGAATACTTAAATAACGGTTCACATTTCTCAAATACTTTTTAGCGTATTTCCCAATAGGGAAGTAGCTACGTATTACCGTAGGTCTCATGGTAAGACCTAGGCCCGGGACCGATTTACTTTTTCATTTTGATGTTCCCAGAGGCCAAAAACACCATTCGTTCAAATGTTTATATATCTATATATATATATATATGTGCATCCGCACGATAACTTGAGTAATTTTTGCCGATTTTGATAAAATTTGGTTTGAAGGTGTAAGGCGGGATAAACTTGAATGAGTTCGCGAACCAGCATGATCGGACTATGGGAACGGGTGGTTATGGGGGGTTTTATGGGGTAAAAACAGGTTTTCCCATTTTTGACCCTAAAAACAAAAAATTTCTCAATTTCCTTTAAAACCATTTTGTAGAGCTTAAAAAACAAATAATTTAGTATATTGAAGCGTTATTATGCGCCTAATTTTTAAGGAGAAAATTCAAAAAAATTGTAATTTTTATAATTCCTATGTTATTCTTAAGGAAAATAAGTCAACTGTTGTAGTTTGCTTGTTTATGAACATATTTTGATCAAATTTGGAAAATACATTAATTTCTTACTAAACCACAGTACCTTTTAACATTTTACAATTTAAAAAAACTTTTTTGCCCTCCCTGTTGCAGCAAACCTAAGTACTCATTAAACTAATTCTGTTTAGATAGGGAATAAATGTGATATTTTTAAGGAGACATTTTAGTTTAAATCCAATCAGGCAAATGGAAATTCGCTAAGTCTGCAGGTTTTATTCTTTTTTGTTGAGTCTCACCTTCATAGACATTAGTTCTACCCCAGAACAGTTATGCATATTACTTCAGGCGATTCCTAGAGAGTTGCAGCATTATCACATAGATTAAATCCATTGGAGTTTGGTGGGATTTGAACCCGGGACCTGTGGCACCAAAGTCCGCGCTCTACCGATAGACCAGCTCGCTTCCCTCAGATCGCAAATACTAAACCACAAGTTATTTTTCCATATATTTCTCCTCTTATAGTACACAGTATATGGAGAAAGTATTGTTATCGTCAACATTTTCGAGTTTTGGCTCCGTTTTGATCCCTCTGAAGCCAAAAAGCCCTGTTGTCCGATTTTTAGGAAATTTTGGTATGTGGGTACTGGGAGTATGTTTAATCTATGGTACTAATCTATAATAGAAGTCTTGAGGGTTTTTTGTTTGTTTTGGAAAAAACCCATAAAATATCAGAAAGTTATAGAAATTTTCTAGAATTGTTTGCTTAATATTTTGTATGGTCCTTAACTACAAAAATGCCACAACCTTGCAATGCTGAAAAAAATACGGTTTAAAGATTATTGCATTTTATTTTATTTTATCAATGAAATGTCGTTGTTACTCCTACTCTAACCAATTTATTGTGTTTATATATCGATGACTCCAACAAATTACGAATAAGGGTGATTCATAGTTTAATGTGAGAAAGTATGTCTCAGATTGCTGAAATAATATATTTTCTTACCTTGAAGTGATATTAGTTCGTGATTGTGGTGTCAACAATCTCAGGTAATTTCCCTACATGATACAGTTAATTACATACATCTGAAATTGCAATTGAAAAATTTTGTATAACGAAACTTTGTTCGTAAACGGGGCGTACCCAAGGTCTAAATACGCCTGTGTGTTCGAAAGGAGGGTCTACATATGTCTGCAGATCATACACAATTTCACTCAAATATCAAATACTTAGCGGGCCAAGTTTCAGGGGGGGGGGGTATGGGAAAGTAACCCTTGGGTGTTGCGTGTGGACGTTATACGATCTACCTTCTTACCAGCCTCAGATTTCTTCCACTTTTTGTCAATCTAATCGTCCTTAACATATTTTGAAACACCGTTTAAGTAATTAGCTAAATCCGATAATCGTAATCGGAAGGCTGCTTGCATTTACGAATATGGAAGATGGTCGTAAATTAATTGTTGAAACTCTAATAATGATGATTCAATATATTTGGTTGATATACACTATGACAATGAATTTGTCGTAATCATTAGTTTGTCAATTTTTTTGTCTTACCTGTGAACATACATACAAAATACAGTCAACGACTTTAAACGGAAAAAACATTGAAAAAAGAAAAAAAACTATGAGAAGCAAGCCGCAGCAAACCTGCAGACTAAGCGAATTTCCATTTGCCTGATTGGGTTTACTCTAAAATGCCTCCTTAAAAATATCACATTTATTCCCTATTTAAATAGAATTAATTTGACGAGTACTTAGGTTTGCTGCAACAGGGTAAAAAGTGTTTTTTGTTGTAAAATGTTAATAGTTTAATAAGAAATTAATGTGTTTTCCAAATTCGATCAAAATATGTTCATAAATAAGCAAACTACAACAGTTGACTTATTCTCCATAAGAATAACATAGTAATTTTAAATATAAATTTTTTGGGAATTTTCTCCCTAACCATTAGGCGCACAAAAACGCTTCAAAGATACTAAATTATTTGTTTTTTAAGTTCAACAAAATGGTTTGGAATGAAATTGTGAAATGTTTGTGTTTTTAGGGTCAAAAATGGGAAAAACTTATTTTTACCCCATAACCCCCCCCCCCCAAACTTCTGTTCCCATAGTCCGATCATGTTGGTCCACGAACTCTTTTGAATAAATGTAGGTTTACATGTTTATACCAAAATTCCACAAAATCGGATCATTTTTGCTCGAGTTATCGAGCTAACGGACATATATAAATGAATTTGAACGGATGTTTTTTTCGCCTCTAGGGACCTCAAAACGAAAAAGTAAATCGGTCCCGGGTTGACGTCTTGCCATGAGTACTTTGGTAATAGCTTATTCCCTATATGGGAAATTTGCTAACAAGATAAATAAGTATGAAAATATTCTCCAGCTAAATCACTCGATCTATTAATTAATTGGTTGCTTTTCGTCCAAACATAAAAGCTAGTGACCATTGATTTTTTAGTACTGATCATTGAATCTGGCAAACGTTGGATGCATATTCTGAATTAGCCTGTTCTTGCCGAAATTTATAATCGACTATGCCACTCATTTGTAATTTTTTGCAGACTTATAAGTCTATACTGTAGTTGGTATATTTAGCTGTCCATTTCTTTTCAAGATCAACTATGTTCAGTTTGAATGTAGTAAACCGATGTTTGGTCCACAAGATGTATACTTGTTTTCGAAGTTGTCGAAAGTATTAAGTTAATCAAACTAGACTCGTTACTCCAGTAGTACTGTCAAAAGGTGCATGAACACATTAATCATTGATGTAACAATTTTAACATTGGAATGTAACATTCGTTAGCCAATAATTTGCCATATCCTATAAATTGCGCATGAGAAATAAAAGTCCCGATTTTATTATATAATCAATTAGCTTGAGTAGGAATACAAATTGTAATCTGTAAATGACAACGTATCTCATTAAAAACTCATAAAAAGAGAAAAAATAATTAGCAACACCTACGGTAATAAAAAGTAGCAAAACATAAAATGCTACATGTTTGAAACGTAAGTGAAATAGGAGTTTAAATCCGATCCGGTGAATACAAATCACATAACACGCAATTAAAGCAGTAATTCCTTAGTTAATTACTCACATGGTATGCGTTACAGCGCTGTTGTATAACTCCTGTTCAGTAGGTATGTATATATAGCAGGAACTAGTCATGATCAGTATCAGACATCGACTAGCAGCAGCAGACATGAAGATCTTCTGGCTTCTGGTGGCTGCAGCAGCCGTCGTTGTCGCCGAGGAGAAGAAACAAACAAAAAGGGGACTTTATCAGTTTGGAGGACATGATTTTGGAGGTCATGACTTCGGAGAACATGACTTCAGCAACCACCACCACCACGAGGTGAAGACCATCACGATAGAGAAGGAGGTGAAGGTGCCGTACCCGGTCCACGTGGAGAAGAAGGTACCGTACCCTGTCAAGGTGCACGTCGAGAGGCCGGTCCCATACCCTGTGGAAAAACCTTACCCGGTGACTGTGGAGAAGAAAGTGCCTTACCCGGTCAAGGAGTACATCCCTAAACCTTACCCTGTCGAAAAGAAGATCCCTTACCCAGTAAAAGTGCATGTAGAGAGGCCATACCCCGTGCATGTACCCAAGCCTTACCCCGTCTACGTAGAGAAGAAGGTTCCCTACCCTGTAGAGAAACACATCCCTTACCCGGTCAAGGTGCATGTCCCCCGGCCTGTCCCCTATCACGTTCCTGTTGTCAAACACGTGCCTTACCCCGTCGAGAAGAAGATTCCTTATCCCGTCAAGGTACCAGTTGAGAAGCCAATCCCCTACCCTGTGGAGAAGCCTTACCCTGTCTACGTAGAGAAGAAGGTTCCCTACCCGGTGGAGAAGGAGGTGCCGTATCCAGTCAAGGTTCCGGTTCACATCCCAGTCCATGTCCACGAGCATCATGATCACGATGAACATCACTTCGGAGGACATCACTTCGGACACAGTTTTGGACACAACTTTTAAATATTAACAACCGTACAGAATGAGGTTTTACTGTCAATAAAATGTATATTTGCAAATTCCGGCTTATTTTCGCAAATACCCATTTTCTTTATGCGTTTTATACTTTTGGAATTCATGAACACAAAAAAACTGTTTTGGTTGTTTGGTTTCTGCTACCAAGTCACTTTTGAATTTGTAATAATATATAATCTTGGATTCTTGTAAGAATACAGATGTGTTGTTTCAAACAGATTTAATGAGAAATAAATACTTGGAGGATAAATGAAAATTTCTCTTGTTTAATTCATGAGGTGTCCAAATTCTAAGGAAACATATATTTTTCCTATATTATTGCACTTTTAAAAATTAGAGACACTGTATAATATTTTTCCACCACTACCATTATTATCATTTATTCCTAGCTGACGAAACAGTAACTTCTGAGGATCACGCACTTAAACTTACAAATTAACAGTCTACACTAAGTGGGATTCAACAACGAAATATCAAAGAGGTTTTAATGTCTAGGCTACTCACTCTCATTCATATGAACAAAAGAACATCCTTGAGAACCAGATTCAAACCATCTTGTTGGCAAACAAATCATATAATCTCATGTCGACCTTGGTCAACTTGGGAGCTGCTAATTTCGCTGTTTCCCACCAGCTTCCTTCCGGTCCAGGATCTGCTCTCCGTCCAGCAATTTGAACCAATTAAACGTGGAGGTGGATATGAATCAGCTGGAGCAACAAGCATTCTCACAGCTCCAGGGTCACCCGCACCTGAGTCATGGGTTATTACATGTAGACGAGGTTTCTCATCACAACTCCTAATCGTCTATCACGACATCAAACACCTTTTTTCACCATCAAGAGTTCTGGATAGGTGGCGTTCTTTTCCGGTGCACGACTATACTCCAAAAAGTGCTTCTTTGAAATACACTACAAAATTAGTGTGAGCTACGGCACTGTTCTTAAATGAGGTTTAAGAATTTAACTTAACTTAACTCAATTTAACTTATCTGAGCCAACACACATTTTCGGAGCTTTGCTTTCAGCAGCAATTCCTGGATTTTTAGAGGAAAATGCGTGAGTGTGAAAGTGAAGCCTAGTCAAAGGTTACTACTAGTAGGTCTAGAATCTACGAGACTGAAGTCTGTTACTGATTGGGAGATTTCACTATAGTGGGGAAGCAGAACTAGCTTTTTAAATATCACCTATAACATAAATCATGTAGTGGATTTTGCACGGCAGTGTTCACTAAATATGTCCTAAATGTTATATTGCTAGGCTGGATGTTGCTCCTAATTCATAAATTCATATAATTCGATATTTTCCTATTAATTAAATAGAATATTACTTGCATTTAAAATTAACTTTACCTCCCCTTCCCCAATCATTCACCGCCCTGATTCTCGGTAAAAAATATTAGGTTATTTTCCAGTTATCATATGAAAAAGAAACTTAACATGAATTTAAAATTATATAAACATTTTATTTTTATCAACTCTTGATTAATTAACCAAATATGTGAGACTAAATATGTACATAATGTAACATTTAAATGCACAAACCAATTCAATTCAGATTTTTAAGATTCTTCAAATAGTGCTTGGGAGTGAAATCGGTTGATAATTAATCAGTTCAGTACCACTCCCTGCAAAATAGTCATCCTTAATTTACAATTTCTTACATTCCTGTTGACTTTTCACACATTGACGTGTACCGTTACCTTTTTTCTGTAACACTTTATTTTCAATTACCACTAACCATCGAGTTAATGACCGCTTGGCCACGAGATCATTACGACGCCTTCAACACCCTGTACTAACATCGCCCATTACCGGACAAGTGGAGTGGCGGGTGTACCCGTGTACATTGAGTGACGTCGACCCGGCGCGCCGCCGTGGGAACTTTGTAAGCGGGCTATTTATTTTTTACCGGGACGGAAGTTACATGAACAAATATTACATATGTTATTGCCCTCAGCCCCCATCAGCTCACTTCCGGTGTCGAAGCCCTTGGATCTTCAGGTGCGATATCTTGACGTCCCTTCATCTTTTTGACTCCTCCCCCACATCCTCTTACCGTGTTGTATTTTCATTTTTTGTCAAAACTGGTGCACCTTGTTGGGTTTGAGATTGGTGTTTAAAATATACTGTATACACTAGGTAAGTCAATGATTCTTGGTAAATGGTTGGGGTGGAGGGAAGGAAAAGGGCGACAACGATTGTGTTTCCTAAGTGTGTACCATTATTTATTGGTATTACACTTTAGGAGGCATATACTAAAAATGCTGTTCTTTGTTGAAATATAATTGTCTGTGATGCTGACCTAGTTGTTTTATATAACGATACTTAAAAACGTTTTCGCGACAAATTTACAAGAAAGTGAGCTACGGTGACCTAAAATAAACATTAATTGTAAAATACTGGACATTAATATATGTTGTCATGTAGTTAGTTAAAAGTATACTGGTATTGTGTAAATATCAAGTACTGAATATGATTAATGTTTAGTTGATGTTTAGTACAATGTTTCAATGTTTAGTTAACAACATCGACTTATAATACTTAGCCGAGGCAATGACACACATTTTTGTATTATTTAGAAATACATATTTTTACATCCATGATTTTACTACTGTAATTTTTACTGTAAAGATATTACAGAATAATTTAGGCATATTCTACGCATGGATTACAGGAGATTTAAGGAGAATGACAAACTTACTTCCTTTACCAAAATAGGGTGGAAATAATAACTTCACATGTTTTCAGATTTCACTACAGTTTTAATTTGAAAGGCCTTATTTATTGCATAAGCTAATCTTAAAACAATGTCTTGGTCCAATTTAAAGTACAATGTCGGTTTTCCTCACAGTCAAAGTGTTGGACCCCTAAAAAAGGGTACACCACAAAATCTTGCCAAACCACCCTTCAGTTTTAATCGTTGTTACATTCTGTTCACACACCCTTTCACCGTACCCTTTTCCTGTCGACAAGGATCAAATAAACATATTATTTACGCCCCAAGCAACACCCCTGTATTACAGCTCCCCTGGAAGCAGGGGGTGCAATCACGTGTAATCATATACCACCCTGATGAATGTGTGAACGGTGTAATCGATGGTGCGTGTGCGAGGTTGGGGTAGGTCGTGCTTTGGGGTGACCACTATGGTAATTGTTAGGGCCACCTCATCAATAAGGTGAGGTGTTAATCGACAGAATAGTACTCGCCACATGGTCAAGTGGTATGAACTGTTGATTTATTTGAGCTCGCCGAAATTAGGGTTGAATTCGGTGTGAGGAATGGAGTGTTCGTAGGAGGTACTTAATCATGAGGGATGATTTAAGTGCAGCAGTAAGGCACGAGAAGAGTACTGTCTCTATCAGGGATTTCTAAATACGCCATGATTTTTGCTTAGATTTATGGTTGAAAATTTATTTTACTTTGCATTTAGATAGAACTAGATTCAGAAAAATATAGTTCTTATTGGGATATGATTAGTACAAGTACCATTAGTCCATTAGTATCATTAGGGCCATTAGTAAAAATCAAAATAATAAGAATACATTGATCAAGTAGAATAAGAAATAAACGATTCATGACGAGCATTTTCGCCTAGAAGATAGCTGATGTAAATGCCTGTGGGAGAACTTTTAAATAAACCATCAAGAATAAAGTTCCTTTTAAGTTATTCTGCTTCAGAACACACATTTGCAATTGACTATTACGTGATTAGCCTATGGATATTACTTTTAATCCGGAGCTATTGAATGGACGAAATTATTTCTAAAAGAGTTCGTTCCGTATTGAATCAAATGATCCATTACTCCATTATAATATAAAGACTGCCATCAGCTTTAGACCAAACAAACTGATCGTGCACGAACTATGATTTTATCACAAGATAGGCGTCCTTTTTCTTCGGAAATGCCTCGTTTTTCTTTTAATGCATTCCAAGCCATTATGTAAAAAGGCCAAGATTTTAAATTGAGATAGATGTTTCTTCCTTCTTCAAAAATACGTTCTTCATTGAATGCAGTGCTCTAATTTTGACAAACTCTTTAATCTGAGATAAACCTATTAAAGAATGTTCGACCTCAATCAATTCAACCCTGGAAGATTTAAAACCAACTGATCGTCCAGGAAATCATCATTCGTGGTTTCTCCCCGTACTAACGCTAACCCCTATATAGCAGAGAAACCACGATTTTAACGTAAGTTGGATATTCCTTCTATCTTCAGAAATATGTTCTTCGTTGAATGCAGTCGCCACATTTTGTGAAACCCATCAAATAAGTTTCGTTCTCAAACAATTCAACCATGGACGATTTCAACTTTAGACAAAACCAACTGACAAGTACAATATTACGTTAGGCCGAGTGCGTCGCAAGAGTATTTTAATAAGTTATGTGACTTCTATTCTTCTACCGAAAGATTTTTTTCTACGAATGCATTCTCCACCTTTTTTGAACACCACCCCTCAGCGGCGGACGATTTCAACTCGATCGTTGATTACGTTAGCTGTACGTACGTGTCGCAAGAGTGGCCTGTTGTAAGTGGTCCAGTGTTTACCCGAGTTGTGTGTTGTGTGTTGCCCTTTACCCGGTAGATCACCACGGTCAGGCGTGATTACCGGACAATTAGACGTCTGAGCCTCAGACGCGGCTGGCGGCCAAATGAGAGATCCCAGACCACGCGATCTCCGATCATAATAGGACTGAATTCCTGGTGAACCTTACCCAAACCGAGTGGTGTGAGCCCCTTACACGCCGTTACCCTTGTTGGCTTTCTACACAATTGTAGGCTAAAAATTCACTATCACCTCGCTTTCCAGCAAACGAATCCAAAATTAATGTTTTGAGGCTGATTTGGCGACTTTAGATTGCCCAAGAACTCATCTGCTTCCCAGTTGGTCAACATTTGGATCACATTTCTCATTTGAGTTGTTTTCAAAAAGTTCCATAGTTATTCGCACACACAATTTTTTTAACAATTGTTTTGAAACTAAAATAACTATAAATAAACTAAAATACTAGCCGACGTTAGACCTTCTACCATATGGGCAAAAGTGTTGCCTTTTTAAAATCTTTTAAAACATCGAAGCCCTTAACGTTGACCTGTAATAGTTCAAACTCCCATCGGATACAAAGATTTAACAGCAATCATTGGACCTCCTAACATACCTGCCAACGTTGGGAACTCCTTACATTTACAAATGATAGCCAGTAAACGTTGAAACTCTTACAGACAATTTTGAAACCTCTATTAAACCAACAAACGTTTTAAACCTATCGATGACCAGAACTTAAAAATTTTCAACAATTAGGTAAACTAGTGTACATGTTGCTCGAAATCGAGCAATTGCAAAGAAGTACAGGAGTTATTTATAAACAAATGACTTGTTTAAAAACTAATAACAGTCATAATTTCCGATGATTTTGAAAGAGTTGACTAAACGATTATTAACTATCGGAAATACTCACAATTTACATAACAGTCCTATTCCAGTTTAAAGGGTTAATTTTTAACTATCAAACTGCACATGGACGGGACAAGATAAGCTTACAATTTAAGTCAACGTAAAAAGGCTGTCAGCTTTTATAATGTACCGTACCTAAGTTATTTAGCCAATTTGTAGACAATAAGGTGTAGGCTACTTTAAACTCTACTGAACAGAGTTAGGCAAAAACTGGCAGAACTCAGAAATGGTGCTATTTATCATAGGCATACTTATATGCCAAATCCTTAAATTAATAACTTATATCATTAAATTCAAACCAACATCCAAAACTATA